TTTCATATTAATAAATATGTCCATTTGATTCACTCGAGGGATATTGAAATAATTCCTTATGCAACTGTTTCTTACACTTTCTTGGATGAAATTATCGGGCGTAAGAGAGAAACGGGATAAAGTAAGGACTATCTTACTAATAATGACGCCGCTAAGATTGTTGATGGCATTGAATTAGTTTTGAAAAAAAATCGAACAAGTAATTCTAAAACGTGACAACTATATAGTCAACACATTAAGCCTTATTTACTTCTGTCGCTTCTAAAGGAGAGATGTTATTTTGATTTACCACTTAGTACCAACAGTAAAGAGTGCGTACTGCTTCATTCCTATGTCTACTACCAAATATAATTCTAAAAGGGGTTCATATTTGGACTAGAATATTACATATGTTTGATAAAGCTGTTGTATCCATTCTTCTATACGGGGCTGAAATTTGGGGATACGAAAATTTTGATATACTTGAGCGAGTGCATTTGAAATTCTGTAAGCACATTTTAAAACTTAAAAACTCGACTCCAAGTTTTATGATTTATGGAGAACTTGGGAGATACCCTATTTCTTTATATGCTAAACTACGAATGATCAACTTTTGGTGTCGCCTTCTTGATAATACAAATGAAGAAAAATTATCCTGTATACTTTATAAACTGTTATACATTAATTGTAACAATTATGGTATTGGGAATAAATGGATGTTATTTATTAAGAAAATATTTGATGAATGTGGCATGTCAAATGTATGGCATTGCCAAGATTATTTTAACAAAAAATGGATAAAATTAAGTATTGAGCAAAAGCTAAAAGACCAATTTCGACAAAACTGGTTTGCAGATTTACACCAATCCTCGAAAAGTGTATGTTATAGAATTTACAAGACCGAATTTAAATTTGAAAAGTATTTATCGATTTTGCCTTTTAATTTTTTATATACTTTGTGTAAATTTAGATGCGGAAATCATCGTTTGCCAGTGGAGACGGGAAGGTGGCAAACTATTCCGAGATCGGAAAGGTCTTGTCACCTCTGCAGCTCTACAGATATTGGCGATGAATTTCACTACATAATGTCATGCAATATTTTCAACATAGAAAGAGAAAAATATTTACCACATTATTGTAACAAAAATGCTAACATTATTAAATTTAATCATATATTCTCATCTGAAAATGTTGTTGAACTAGAAAAATTGTGTAGATTTATACGATACATATCATTGAAAGTCTGTCCTCCTGGTTAGAGGAACTGTAATATTATTATATTGTTATTTATTTTCACACATGCGAAACACAATATGTATTATATATGAACTGTTATTTTCTCTGTAGCTATGTACTAGTTTATGAGAATAAAATCATTCATTCATTCATTCACATCCTGATACAGTACCAATTAGGTAGATCAGTTGTGTTTCATATTAACATAGGCGATCATATGCATTCAGGTATCCAGGTAAATATTGCTTGGAACTCAATTTGCTATTCGTGAGAACATTTTACATTACAGATGACGAATGGCATGTAACGGTAAAAACTCAAAACTATGACCGGTAAAAACTCAAAACTATGACCAACAAGATATTTTTAGGGAATGATTCTACCCTCATCCTTGAATAGATAACAGAAGTTCATTATGATGAACTGTCTTTTAGGATAAGACTGTGGCTCATATTTGAAAATTGCCAAAAATAACCTCATTAGATAGGAGTCAAGGCTTATCCCAAACGATATTTTGCTACAATATTGGTTGTAATCATACCTTCTCCTCTTTTACAAAAATAAATAATGGCTCACTGAAATACTGAAAATGGCATTTTGCCAAAAAGGCAATCCCTATCATTACAAATAATAACTTTATTCGCAAACGGGTTCTATTCGCTTAAGTGCATCTACTATGAATGAAATAAATACTTTTTGTTCTAATCCAATATATAAAGTCGATGCGGTAACAAAAGTGTAATCAGCTTGAATAAAAAATATTTCCGCAAAATAAAACATTGTTTGTTTGAAACATACATAAACTACTTGCAATATTCATATTTATTTAAAGCAATTGGCTTAAAATTATATTAAATACTTTTGAACAGGAGAATGCGTATACTCAAAGCTTTTGATACGTCTTAAAAGACGCATATTCACTTTATCCCAGAAATGTATTATAAATGAATCTGGTGCTACACTAATATCAAATCTGTTTACTTATTAATCATTATCATTGTTGTGCTTTAAAAAACTGTTACGAGTATTTTAAAAAGCGAAATGATGAAACTTAAATCAATACTGTTTCATTTGCTTCAACTGCAAGTATTAGGTCATTATATCCTTGAAAGGTCTAAATTTATTACTTATTGCTGAAATTTATGAAAATGAAAAGGTGCGACAGTCATATCGAAATGCACATCACTTCAATTGACACATCGAAAATTATAAAATAAAGTGTAAAGTATCCAAATGCCTTACTTAGGTATAAAATGCTTGTGGTTGTCAGTTTTCAGGAGGAAATCGCTTATTTTGACTTTTCGACGTGATTTTCATGTTTTATCATTATGTTTTAAACCAAAACGTACACTGATTTGAAAGTGAGGTTTAAGATACCAAGGGGGAAAAATCCTCGAGTCAAAGAAGAGCAGACTATACCCTGACAAAAAAGAAAAAAACGAAAAGACAAACAAAAGTAAAAAAAAAATAACTACACAGTACTATTGCACGAAATACCAGAACATTTGTAAACATTGGAGTCAGACAGTGTAAATAAATAACCAACATCCTTCAAAAATTCTAACAAGGGCGATAGTGGATCTAATTTTCCGCCATAGATATTTCTAAAAATCAAGTTATAATCATTCAGAATTCAGATAGAAAACAAAAATAATTCAACAATATCAACTTAAAGAGTCTCTTATATAGATGAATGGTCAGCGGAAATTGTTATTAAAGGAAAAGTATAACTGAAAGCATATTTATCAAAACGAAGGAATAATGCCGAAAATACAAGTCAGATAAAAATATAACAAATTAATAAGGTGGGTTAAGTATTATTGTTGTCAATTTGCGCCATTAAATTATTGGAATGCAAGCACACGCAAGAAATTATAAGAAGGATAATTTCCTACATAGTTTTGATTGTAAGTGTAATTTAAAGCATTAAAAAGCCTTATAAAAACATCATCATTTTCATTTTCTTTTTATCTGAATAAACTCTTTATGTATTAAATATGTTCAGCTTCATAAAACCTTTGCTCTCACCATTTCTGGTTAAGGTTGATCCAGAATACCGCAGCAATTGCAATGCTCTTATACATAATTAATTTTCTTGTTATAGTTTTAGGGCAAATCGTTATTTTTAAACCTTATTTCTTGACTATAGTATAGTTGTTAACCAAAAAAAATATCTGCAATCTGATCTTGGAAGTAATAATATGATACTTCCCGAAATTCGAATTCAGACATATGAGTTTCGAATTCCAAACCTCATATACAGTATTTAATCCCGAATTTCGAATTGTGTTTGCTTCTTTTGAAGTTTCTTAGAAAGATATGTGGTAAACGTGGAGTTCAACATAATAAAATTACCAATAATAATATTCACAAGTCACCTTTCATGGTCTATGAGACGACAAAAGCTTAAACAGGCTCTTAACTAATTAGTTGTATACAATCATTAATGATTGAAGTATTACTTTGGTAGGGGGAGGGGTCACTTTTACAACTATTTGTTTGAATGAACCATAAGTTATTTATATACATGTATTCAACTAGATTCACTTCTTTCCATTCTAAAATATTGGGTTTCAACACCCGTACAACGTTTAGCTTCCGTCAACAAGGAGCACGTCGAATAACACTGATTTGAATCATCAGATTCAATGCATTTTCCCAACCTATTGCATGTAGATATGAGTAAAAAACGGTAATCCAAAGATCAAGCTGTGTCGTCTCAGTTTAGTCGTTTCGCCGAGACATAAACGTGTGTTCTGGTGCAGTTTAAGACCAACAATAATGTATCAATCAATTTATTGACCAATCTACCAGATTTCCCATTTTATATATCAATTAGTGCTATCATGTTGTGGTCATATCATTTTCGCCGGAAAGTCGAATTATTTCTGTAGTTGTATTTTTCTATTTCTAATTTTAAGGGAGTCGCTGAAAAAGTGTGAAAATGTTAGAAAAAAAGTTAGTGACCACCCAGTAATCAATTTTTAAATGTCTGCATAAAGCTACAATGACTAATGCTGACACCCATTCCTTCAAAGGTTACACTTTATAATTTAAAAAAAAACTATATTTTTTTTTCAATTGTATTTTACATTCAAAGTTTTATGTGTATTATGAAAATTAAGCAACCAATAAGCATATTCTAACGATTTTTGTTCTTCAGTCGTTTGATGCCAGTTTAATTTCTGGTGTTACATTAAGTAATAACTCGAAAAAATACTTTACTACGTAGATCTCGTACAACAGGTCATTCAATCTATATTTTGCATACGATATTTTGGAGAGTGACTTCATATTTTACAATCATATATTTAAGAATGGTGTGCTCTATCTGAGACACAAGCTCAAACAAAGAGCTTGCTATTCAGTATGGGTTCTGCTCATTATTGAAGGCACGATGACCTAGATTTGCTAATCTTCTACGTCATTTGGTCTCTGGTGAAGAGTTGACGCATTGGCAATCATACTACAACATCTTCTAACTTTTGAGTGAAACCATTCAAGTATTCTAAAAGTATACGAAAAAAGATAAAAAGAACACACAAATACAAACGCACGTGAAATAAATTATATATTCAAAAATTATTTTGAAGGATTTTATTAACTAAGGATCAAGAAAATGAGAAAATTGATTAAAGAGGGAGTGATGAAACCGTTTTGTACATAAATAGGTTGCCCATGTTTACATTTGTTTCATTAATCTTCCAGGCATAATCCTATCAATTTCCTATTTAGTAACAGCTGAATTTTTTGTAATATTGCGGATTATTAACATTCAATTACAGTTTCCGAAACCTTCCACTCTAAATTCCGTTCATCGGTGGAGAATTTGTATCATCATCACATTCTTTAGTAGCGATATGTGGATTTTGGTAGGACTGTGGTTATCCAACGTGATTTCATATGGATATGGATATGAATATGGATATGGAACGAACCAGCCGACCTCATGGTTGCCCCCGACTGCTGACTGTTTACAAAGATGCGAGTTTACCCATCCACAAATTGTCTACTGCAGATCTCCAGTTGGTATGTTACATTTATCGCTTATAATTTGTCACCCATTGATATTGTTTTAATTATTATTTTTTCACATCTATATATTCTGTCGATAATTTTTTATTTGAATTTGAAAGGATTGCCATATTCGACAATTTATCTTCTGTCCTCGCTCACTACCTCATAAGTGCAGCTGGCTGTTTGTTGTGACCAAAATTAAAAATTAGACAACAACAAAAAAGACTGTACAAAGAAAACAAAAGATTAAGCAGTATATCCTCTCTCTTCCTCTTTTTGAAGCATCTGGATTCGTCGGTAAGATTTTTTTCTTTTCTTTCAAATAATGGCAAAACATCATAACATTAATAACAGAGTTGAAGTATAATTGTTGTTTTTCCCCTCTCAGTTCGTTTCAAGTCCGTTACCTTGGAAAACTCGAAACGTCAATTGATTGCATCTTGTAAAAATTAATTACCCAATGACGCCAGTTCTTTTATCAACCACCATTATTGATATCCTGAATTATTGACTTTTAGAGAAATTATCTAATGATATCTGATATCGATTTATGAGTTTCGAACAGCGGTATACTACTGTTGCCTTTATCTAATGATGTCTTGAAATTATGTTTGTAACTACAATGCAAACAGATACATTCAATATATATTTATTTTTAAATGACTAAGAATTTCTAAACTATAAGGCAGCAATAATTTTCTAATGACCATGAAGCAGATGTAATCAAATCATAAATATGATATACAGGACTCCGTACATTTTCTTTAATTTCAACGATATTGCCCTGCTGTGCATAGAATTGTCTCGTCAATATTCAGAGACGTTATTCTGTAACGTTTGGGAAATGACGTACCCGTAATTACTGTAGTGTACAGTTATAGCGTGAGGGTCTTACTAATCACCGTTAAACATCCATACCCTCAGATCAGATTAAAAAAAATCAACATAGTAAATCATTTTATTGCAGGAAAACGATACGTATTGAAAAATGTCAATCGAATAATTGACTAACATAACGTTTGAAATGATGCACTACTTTTATTTATTTATCTATTGAACTAAATACATATATTTATAAACTAGTAATGTGTAAAATAGGTAAAAGAGTGGCGTGTTAATGATACTTTGTTAGACATACTAAACATGCGTATCAATGAATTTCTTAGCAAGAGGTTCAATGGAGTATGTTTAGCATCAAATTTTAATAAAGAGCATCGAACACATCAAAATGAACACACACTTACAGTACTAGAAAAATATTTGTCATACCAATCCAATACAAAGTCTAACTAAATTATATGGAGATTTTTACCAAATCATGTTACTAAAAAAGATATTAAAAATGAAAAGAACATGTAATATGCACTCTCTTGAGCCTCTTAAAAACATCTAATCCATTTTGAAACCCCTGAAACTAACTATACTAGCGTTTATAGATATATGCATTAGATGTAGTTAATCATTATAAAATAGATGATAGAGAACAAAAATCCCATTTATTATGATGACCAAGGATTGTTAGGACTGATAGCAAAGTAGAAAAGTGTCATTTTCATGAAATTGTAAGTAAGACTCATAAAATTCTAAGGCCAAAATCCCCTGATCCTGGGAATGTATGCTGACAATATATTATGTTCCAGCCTGATCATAATAGATCAAAAGTATACCAACCATAAAATAAAATGCATACAATATATGACTGCTCTTTACAATATCATATAGCAACTATCAGGACAATATTACCAAGAATGTCAACAATTTTAGCAGTCGAATGTTATTTCCGTGATTTTTTTGCCAAATCCAAAAGCTCCTATTGGTCAAATAAGATGAACTTGAACAATACCACATATGCAATTTGTGTATCCTCTCATCATGCAATTATAAACAAAACGAGCACAAAATCTACAGATAGGACGAACAACCGTAGTAAAACTGCTATTTTCATGAAAGGTTTTAAATCCACCGGCTGAAATAGCTTAAGTAGGTTAGTTAAAACAAAATTACAATATTTACGAGTTAAAAATAAGTATTTGAGAAAACTGAAAAGAAAACTTTAATTTCTTGACCGATTATCGCACTAGCACCATACGAATTAATGTAAACACATTTAATTTCAAGTTAGTATGTAGTTTCCGAAGAAAAACACACACACAACAATTGACGCAAGATTGGGGACAAGTGAATAAAATATGAAAATGAATAAATCAGTTTATCATATACTTATAGAAAATAATGGTATAATTGTACCCCATGTTAAAACTTATTTGTACATATATTTATTCATTAAATTTGAAGAATTACCTTAGCCGTGTGATATGACTTTTGTTATCAACTGCTTGGTACGTTTTTTTTTAGTAAAACATAACAAAGTTGGAGAAAAAGAAAATATTAATAATCAGAAAAATATATTATTAAAAAATACAAAACAAATATTACAATAAATGCATTGTTTCAAAGTTTTAAAAATAGTTTTGTCTGTATGTCTTCTGCTGAAGTATATGATAAAAAGAACATAACATATCGTTTTTCATATCAGACCCCTTATCAGCCCATGGTCAAAATCATCCCTCGAGCCTGTCGGCTCTCGGGCTGATAACATGACCTAGGGCTGATAAGGGGTCTGATATGAAAAAGGCCATGTTATAATCTATATATATGCATTATTGTTTTCTTTTACAACGTTTTGTGAAATATGGTGTATAACACGTTAAATTGTTTGGAATAGAAGACCAAATTCTGACCAATGATTTCAAATACTCCATTTTAAACTTCTTTCTGATGTTGACCGAATTGACATGGAAAGTCATACATATTGGTTCGATAAAAATATCGGTCTACCTATGGAAATGCAAAACGTTTAAATAATAATCCCAATTATGCCATGCTTATGACTTTAATATCCAAATATGAATTACAACACATTTTATATCTGTTTGGTATATGTAGTTGCCATAGATAAATTTTGAATACTACGGTGTTTTAATTTTTTTAATCATTCCTTCTTACAATATTTACAGTTGTTTAATATATATTTTTTTTCAGTTGCCAAAATCAGAATAACGAAATACGAAAAGTATGGTTATGACGACGCATCTTATAAGATAGATGTTAAAGACATACTTAAGGTAAACAAGAAATATTGGATTCATATCGCACATAATTATAGTAGGATGAAAAGTGTCTTTCTTTAACAAATGTACACACAAGTGACCCTCCATTTCAGAATTTTAAATTACGAACTCTTAAAAAATTAACAAAAAACAAACAAATAAACAAATACAGCATGTATATGTACAACAATAGTACCTTGTAGAGTAAAGATATACTGCATATAAATCTCACACTGATTGATTGAATGATTGGTGTTAAATGCCACTTTCAGCACTATTGTGCTATTTTGTAGTTTTTATTGGTGGAGGAAGCCAGAGTGCCTAGAGAGAACCACCGACTTTCGGTAGGAATACTGACAATCCTAGTCAATAAAGATTGGAGTCGAGCGCACCTGCAACGTGCGGGATTCGAACTCACAACCTCAGTGTTCAGTGGGAAATCTAGTGAAAAAGAACAAAAGAAAATTACCTCTTCTTATGATAGAGTCGAGAAAATCAATAATGAAACAATGCCAGTGACGACACTGATCAAAAGTTATTTCTAAATAACAATTCTACATTTTAAAGAAATTATTTGTTTAACTGTGTTATTGGAAATATACATGCAAATACACGATGTTTTATGTTCAGTATTTATCGAGATAATTGCAATAGAAGCTTGTGAAACTGAAATCTAAAAAATGCCAATCTTTGCTGCATATTGATAAAAAAAATTGGAAAAAATGTACATACCAAATCTAAAGATCTTTTGGGTCACCAATTTTGGAGTGTTCCACAAAGTCCGTAGAATGTAACAATTTCCCAAAATATACTTATTTTTCACATTCTAAGTTTTCGAGTACACCGGTCTGCTCTTGTCACATGAACATTCAATATAGGAATATTGTCTTTTCATGAATATAACAATATAAAAGTCTGTCTGTGCAGGTTAAAAAATTAAAGATAAATATTCTTTTAAAGTAGGCATCTTATTATTATTTTTTATACAATTTTAAGAAAAGGTCGTCTCGATTTTTGTACATGTATTTGCGGTCTTCTCGATCTATTGAATAGATCGCGATTGCCAAATAAACGGATCACCGATGTAATAAATGGGTCTTAACTATAAATTTAAAACTAAACAGAAAACAATAAACTTGCGCAAAAGATGGTATACCGCAAACAAATGGTGCAAAGGTTTTTGTACACCATATCCGGATTTCGACAATTAATGTCTCTTCGGTGATGTTAGGAATCAAAACGGTATTTGGAAAGCCATACAATTTACCTCAATTTAGGATAGACTCTTTAATTTTGAGGAGTCAAAATAGGATGAACGGATCGTATAAACCCAAAGACAAATATAAAACAAGCCCAAACGAAAAAATATAAACAAGTCTAAATTGAAAACAACGTTCAAACCTATGATTGCGTTGGATAAAAACCGCAATTTTTATACGTGTGCATGTAAAACAAATGTCTTGTTAGAGGGGTCTAAATACAGCACAAACAACATTTTCTTAAATTGAGGTAAATTGTATGGCTTTCCAAATACCGTTTCGATTCCTAACATCACTGAAGAGACATTAATTGTCGAAATCCTGATATGGTGTACAAAAACCTTTGCACCTTTTGTTTGCGGTATACCATCTTTTCCGCAAGTTTATTGTTTTCTGTTTAGTATTAAATTTATAATTAAGACCCATTAATTACATCGGTGATCCGTTTATTTGGCAATCGCCAATGGCAGTCAGCAGGGTTAAAGAACATTTGTTGTTCGACCTGTTAGTCAAATGCGTTTTGTTAAAATATACTTTTTCACTTTTTTGGTCTTTTGGATATATATAAAATGACTGAAAAATAGCCAACGATAAATCTTACGGGGCGATGGATCATATGAATATGATACTGTACACTACAAAATATAATATATAACCAGTCTAAAAGGGTACAACATCACCAAAAATGACAATAAACGAACAAATGTAACTATAAATATTTCGGATAACAGATATCCTTCATCAGTATGAGCAAGATGTAAAATGAATCAGATCAATCTATTCTGATTATTAAACTATAGCAATCTTGAATTCTATACAATAAAAAAAGTGAAACAGTTTCACCCGAACATCATATGTAGAGACGCTAATAAATTTTTTAAATTTCCAAAAAACGACCCAAAGACATGCCTAAAATGAAAATAGTAATTAGAGATATGAACTGGCACAACTCTAAAATTCCAAAATGACGTCAGTTAAGATGTTACAACAACTGCGTGTAAATACATTCCCAAAAAACAGCACTGGTCTATATAAGCTGGTAAAATATGTCAAACAGAGGCGCAGCAAAATAGTTCCGTTTGTTTTAACATACAATCCCGCCTTTACTAACCTTTCACGTTTGATCCGTGCCAATTGGCAAACTATTGCCAAGCACCCAAAATTGTCCAAGATCTTTCCCAATCCTCCTGTCTTAGCTTTAGCTTTTCTGAGACCAGCAAGTCTGAAAGACTTATTTGTGAGAGCTGACGTCTCCTCTAATAAAAGCTGTTCAACTGCAGGATGGTGCAAGTCGTGTGGTAACAGACGATGTCTGACTTGCCAACACATACTGAATACTCAAACATTTTCTTGCCACTCCATTGGGTCTGTGTACACTATATTTTGTAATGTAACTTGCAAAACACAGAATGTTGTATACCTTCTTCAGTGTCGATGTGGCATGCAGTATATTGGCGAGACAGAACAGCCATTCAACAAACGCATGAATGGTCATCGAAGTGACTACACCTGCAAGCCCGACCTTCCCGTAAGTCGTCATTTGAGATCACCTTGGCACGCCCAAGCTGATCTCAAAAACCTTACAATCACAATCATAGACCACAACGAGGGTTGGTCAAGGGCCGAAAGACTTGCTCGGGAAAGGTTTTGGATAAGAAAGCTAAGGACAGTTTCCCCAGAGGGCATAAATGAAAAAAACATAGAATGAGTCACTCATTTTCCCTACCATCACTCATTTTCCTGACATCATTTGTTTCCAGTTACTCCGGCTTCCTTACTTAACTCTTACAGTTTTAAGGATTCTTTTGGAATTTTTTGAATTTTACTAGTTTAAATACCAGGGTTCTTTTCATTTGGTAGGGATGTACAAGTACGCATCCACGTCCAATTATTTAACCTTAGCCCAAATTTACTATTATTTTTTCTTTTCATTATAAAACTGCTATTTATTTGGGATGATAAATACGCAGCCTCTGTTTGACATATTTTACCAGCTTATATCGACCAGTGCTGTTTTTTGGGAATGTATTTACACGCAGTTGTTGTAACATCTTGACTGACGTCATTTTGGAATTTTAGAGTTGTGCCAGTTCATATCTCTAATTACTATTTTTATTTTAGGCATGTCTTTGAGTCGTTTTAGGAAATTTTAAAAATTTATTAGCGTCTCTACATATGATGTTCGGGTAAAACTGTTTCACTTTTTTTATTGTATAGAATTCAAGATTGCTATAGTCTAATAATCAGAATAGATTGATCTGACTCATTTTACATCGTGCTCATACTGATGAAGGATATCTGTTATCCGAAATATTTATAGTTACATTTGTTCGTTTATTGTCATTTTTTGGTGATGTTGTACCCTTTGAGACTGGTTATATATTATATTTTGTAGTGTACAGTATCATATTTATATGATCCATCGTCCCGTAAGATTTATCGTTGGCTATTATTCAGTCATTTTATATTTATATACGGATAATTAGCATGTCCCAGAGAGGTATACAGCCAGTAAAAAAAGTTAATTGAAGTTGGTAATCCAGGAATTTATTCACATAGCAACATTTAAACCAATTTTACACCAAGCTCATTTAGTCTGCTGTACTCGTCGTTTTTTTTATTTAAGGAGGGAAATGATAACAATACATGGAAGTTTTGTTTTTATTTCAACTTATTTTTTTTTATTATTTACCAGAATGTTTTCCCGTGAGTTTATAATTGATAGCGTCCTTGCTCAGTAAGGATTCTACTTCGTCAAAATTATCTCCCCATTACGTCAGCTAATTTTTACAATCGTAAAAATGGAAGCCATTGTAGGGATGACGAGCTTTCAATTTAGCTCTTGAAAACCGATATATTTATCCACCTAGCACCATTACAATCCTTATATGCCAGTTGTATTTTAAAAGACAAATGTATCTACTAGCTATTGAGCATCATTTAATGTACTTTTCTGCACAATTAGTCAACTTAAAACTATTGTTTGATCGGTTGTCAGGGGGAATTTTCGAAAGTTCAAAAACTTTAAAAAAAAATTCTAATATTAATATTTCGTGGAAGGGCAGACTAAACATTTTCAAAGGTTGAAGACTAATAACCCTAAATAACACACACAAAAAATTTAGTTTTTTTGAAGTTATGCATTTTTAAGATCCAGTTGTAAAGTCTGTCGTCAAGTACTTTTAGTAAAAATTTGTTATTCGAACACACCTACTCTGTTGTTATGACTCATTAGAAAGGTATTTCACTCGACCCATATATTTCATTTTTTAGAACTGTGAATTTTAAATGTTATTAAATCATCCTGTAGCCTAAACATATAGAAAATAATAGAATCTGAAGCGAGATGATGTATCAAATATTTTTGCTCTATACGTTTCCAAGACAGAAAAGACAACTCAAACACGCCCGAACACAAAAAGATGAACTCGACTTTCTCTATTCGGTGAAATTATTGCCCATTTTTAGGATTTTTTCCACAAATACTATCGCCGGGGATAGAGATGCAACTTAATGTTTTGAAAAGATCAATCCACTATCTTTCTGTGGATTTTTATTCGGCCGAATTTATGCTTATGCACAAAAAAGATCCACATGTATTTGCACTTACCACAATCGACTATTTTATGAAAATGTGTCTATAGTTTAAAAGTTTACAAATATCTCGAAGCTCCATACTATAATTCAAGTAAAAACACGTATATAAGATGCACAAAATCCTAAATTATGCACCTTCATTAAACTTTTAAAGCCCATAGAAACAGATATAAACAATTCAAATATACCTATTTGGCCTTTTTTACCTTCTCTAACAAAGAGTTCCATTTCTTTTGTTTAATTTCAACTGGGTATCCGCCTGTGCTAAAATGGGACAAACATTGAAAAGATCTAGTTTTCAGTGTTTACAGGGGAGGTAATATTTTGTCACTAGATTTCCCATTGTGTTGACAGGCTAGTGATGCAGTAGTTCGACTACTTAGACAAATCGGCAACCGAGGCTCCAATCTCATATTGAAAATACCCGTAGAGACCACGCTTTATAATAAAAAAAAAGAAGTAAAGGAAGAACTGAGTTGCTAGATAAACGTATTACAGATATTACATTATTCATATTTTGATTTGTGCTTAGATTTGTCCTAAGGGGCCCTCAAATCAGAAACAAAACACAAGCACTACATACTGGAAAAGTGGAATATGCATGAAGAACAGAATAAGAATGATATAAGCATCGACTCATTTTGACACCACCTTTCGTGTTATACAAACAAGAAAATAAAATACAGGTGCAATAAATCACTGTACAGTATGCTATTTTGGCATTTGCATAGGAGTTAAAGAATAGTTACCGGACATAATTTATCTCACAAACAGCCGAAAGATTGCACAAATGGACCTACTAAATGCTTTGAATACCTTTTTGATATTACTTTCAAATTTAATTCATTCATTTTGAAGAGTTCGTTTAATTTGAAAACGATTTGAAAAGTTGAACATAGTGAATGCATACTGACTGATTAAATCTTAAAATTGATTTGAATTTTCTATCTTTTGAAAAACTAAAATAAAATAGAAAAGAGTAATATGACATAAGGTTTGAACATAAAGACTATGAGAATGCTTCAATTTAATCTTTAATGATAATCGATTGAAACAGGCGGAAACCCAGTTGAAATAGAACAAAAGAATCGAAGCTCTTTGTTAGAGAAGGCGATAAATGCTTACTGTAATGTTTACTGTAGTAACACACATTTTAAAAGTTAATAGAAACAAATAAAATGACAGTTTTTTGCTAAATTACGAAATATTTTATCATAAAAACACAATTTGCATAAGTTTTCAATTTATCTATTACATAATTAAGCAGAACAATTAGATATCAAGTCGACGACATGGGTGTCTATTAAGTTGGATCCAAAAAATGCATAACCTCCGATTTTTCAAAAAAATTTACCACGGACGGAGAACATATCAATCTATTTGTTCCTTAATTTTCGTTTCTGCCCATCCATTATGTGACTCAAGAAAAGAATCCAAAAAATGGGTAACAATTGCATCGAAAAGAGAAAATCGAGTGCACCTTTTTATGTTAGGGCGTGTTTGAGTTGAATATTTTGTCTTGTAAACGTAAAAAGCAAAAGTATTTGATACATCATCTCGCTTCAGATTCTATCATTTTTATATATCAAGGCTACAGGTTGACTTTATAACATCGAAAATTCACAGTACTAAAAAAATGAAATATATAGGTCAAGTGAAATACCTTTCTAAATGAATCATAAAAGCAGAGTAGGTGTGTTCGAATGGCAAATTTTTACTAAAAGTACTTGACGACAGACTTTTAAGTTGGATCTTAAAAATGCATATCTTCGAAAAAACTAAATTTTTTGTGTGTGATATCTAGGGTTTACAGTCTTCAACCACTGAAAATTTTTAGTCTGCCCTTCCACGAAATATTGAATTAAATTTTTTTAAATGTTTATGAATTTTCGAAAATTTCACCTGACAACCGATCAGACAATAGTTTTAAGTTGACTGAATGCAGACAGGTACATTAACTGGTGCTCGTTAGCTAGTAGATACATTTGTCTTTTAAAATACAACTGGCATATAAGGATCGTAATGGTGCTATGCGGATAAATTTATCGGTTTTCAAGAGCTAAATTGGCAGCGCGTCATCCCTACAATGGCTTCCATTTTTACGATTGTAAAAATGAACTGGCGTAATGGGGAGATAATTTTGACGAAGTAGAATCTGTCTGGAAAGTTATGCAAAGACACAAGGATGAAAGACGGACAAATTCATGATTAAAATTACCATATTCATTTAACAGCTTTAAAATGCACTTTACAACATAAAAAGTGAACAATATAGAAAGAATATCCATTAGATTTTTTCGGTAATGATTAAAGTAATGAAAAGGTGTTCTTTCTAAATTAGACTCTGATATCGCACATAATAAAAAAAATAACTGTCGTGCAAGGCAAAAATAATGTTTTCTGTTACTTGAGACATAGATCGAGCTCCTGAATGAACACGAATGAAAAAAAAAGTTTATTATGCAAATATTATATGTTTTCTTTCTTTGATATTTTTGAATTCATAAATTTTAATGAAACAGATGAAGTTCGGATACAATTCATATAGAGTGAATTCAAGTACTGTATGGCAAGTGTCTCATCACTGTCATCGTTTTAATTGAAGAGATGAATTTCATTACTAAGTCAATCTCGATAGATCAATAACACAGAGACACTCAGGACACTGGAAAACCAGTGTTAGGTTCTCAGGTCTTGACAGTGACATTTTCATTGGGAATGGGTAAAGTTTTAACTCTATTTAAGAAACAAAGGAACAGTCTACAGATTGGTAACAGTTTAATAAGAGGAATTTCCAGAGGAAAAAAAAACATCTTAGCTGTATTTTTTTCTTATCTTTGTTGTTGAACATAAAATTGAGAATGGAAATTGTGAATGTGTCAAAGAGACAACAACCCGACCAAAGAGCAGAAAACAGCCGAAGGCCACCAAAGGGTCTTCAACACAGCGAGAAAATCCCGCACCCGTTTCAGCACGCTTGTTTCTAGATTTTCTTACGTTACATACCCGTTTAAAACACACGATCGATCAGTCGATCAATTTATTTTAAACAACATCACAAACTAATGATGATATATGATTCGGTTTCAAGCCGCTTTTGAAAGTAGTTAAAGCTGATTAACGGGTTAACAAGTTTCAAACACTTTTATTACAAAGGATGTTGTATGAATAAAAAGCGATATGGAGTTAACGTTAATGGCGCAGCAACAAAACAACACAAAAACTCATTTTGACATATAGTGGTTTAACATACTGTTAACTTATGTTTTTTCTGGTTTGCATACAAACTAACATCTTAAATTATTGACATTTTGACAGAAAAAAATGGAATGTAACACAACCAAACAGTACACTTTATTTTAAGTATGGTACATGTACATCATACACGGGGGAAAAATAAGGTTTGTATCCTCGCTAAGCATCCATTGTTCTTGGATGTTCATTATTATCTTTGGGTATCATTACTATTAATAACATTATTTTTTCTACATAAAGATAAACAGAACGCAAAAAGTCGTTTGGCTAACAAAATATTTTATTTTTTACAGAGCCCAAGTAATATCAACCTTTATGATGTAAAAGATATGTATACACAGTGTGGAGCTTCAAGGTACCACCCATTTTACGAAAACAAAACATACTTGGTAATGGGTAAGTCCAAAATAATGTAACTTTGCCATTTAATAGTATGTTCAGCATTTTCTCGAAGGAAAAACCTTATTGAAGCTTATCTTATTTTCTATTCTCTAATTTTGATCATCATCATCATCATCATCATCATCATCATCATCATCATCATCATGCCATTGTAACTGTCAAAGGTCAAAGAAACTCCATGTAAACAAAACTCCTTCAGATTTCCAGAAAATTGAAGTTTTTTGATCAAAATAATTATCCATAGGACACCATGCCTGGCTCACACTATCGCATTTCCATATAAAATAAGGAGACGAGGTATGATTGATAATGAGACAACTATATCGTATAGTCCCCGCCATCATAAAATATAAAAATAAAAAAAAAACCCGACGACCTGATCAATGACAAAGCAATAAACGTAAAAACAAATATGACAGACTAAATTTAAATTAAGGAAAAAGTAAAATAACAAAAATACTGAACTCCAAGGAAAATTCAAAAAGGATAGTTCCTTATTAACTGACAAAATCAAAAGCTCAAAAACATCAAACGAATGGAAAACAACTGTCATATTCCTGACTTGGTATAGGCCTTTCCTTATGTAGAAAGATAGTGGATTAAACCTGGTTCCCTTGTAAGTTCACTTTTAAGTATCTCCCTCATGCATAGCTCTGATTACTTGTCCGGGTTTGGCTTTGTATCTCCCTCATGCATGGCTCTGGTTCCTTGTCCAGGTTTGGCGTTGTATCTCCCTCATGGATAGCTCTGGTTCCTTGTCCAGGTTTGGCGTTGTATCTCCCTCATGCATAGCTCTGGTTCCTTGTCAAGGTTTAGCCTTGTATCTCCCTCATGCATAGCTCTGGTTCCTTGTCCAGGTTTGGCGTTGTATCTCCCTCGTGCATAGCTCTGGTTCCTTGTCCAGGTTTGGCGTTGTATCTCCCTCATGCATAGCTCTGGTTCCTTGTCCAGGTTTGGCGTTGTATCTCCCTCATGCAATCTCCCTCATGGATAGCTCTGGTTCCTTGTCCAGGTTTGGCGTTGTATCTCCCTCATGCATAGCTCTGATTCCTTGTCCGGGTTTGGCGTTGTATCTCCCTCATGCATAGCTCTGATTCCTTGTCCGGGTTTGGCTTTGTATCTCCCTCATGCATAGCTCTGGTTCCTTGTCCAGGTTTGGCGTTGTATCTCCCTCATGGATAGCTCTGGTTCCTTGTCCAGGTTTGGCGTTGTATCTCCCTCATGGATAGCTCTGGTTCCTTGTCCAGGTTTGGCGTTGTATCTCCCTCATGCATAGCTCTGATTCCTTGTCCGGGTTTGGCTTTGTATCTCCCTCATGCATAGCTCTGGTTCCTTGTCCAGGTTTGGCGTTGTATCTCCCTCATGGATAGCTCTGGTTCCTTGTCCAGGTTTGGCGTTGTATCTCCCTCATGCATAGCTCTGGTTCCTTGTCCGGGTTTGGCGTTGTATCTCCCTCATGCATAGCTCTGATTCCTTGTCCGGGTTTGGCTTTGTATCTCCCTCATGCATAGCTCTGGTTCCTTGTCCAGGTTTGGCGTTGTATCTCCCTCATGGATAGCTCTGGTTCCTTGTCCGGGTTTGGCTTTGTATCTCCCTCATGCATAGCTCTGATTCCTTGTCCGGGTTTGGCTTTGTATCTCCCTCATGCATAGCTCTGGTTCCTTGTCCAGGTTTGGCTTTGTATCTCCCTCATGCATAGCTCTGGTTCCTTGTCCAGGTTTGGCGTTGTATCTCCCTCATGCATAGCTCTGATTCCTTGTCCAGGTTTGGCGTTGTGTCTCCCTCATGCATAGCTCTGGTTCCTTGTCCAGGTTTGGCGTTGTATCTCCCTCATGGATAGCTCTGGTTCCTTGTCCAGGTTTGGCGTTGTATCTCCCTCATGCATAGCTCTGGTTCCTTGTCCAGGTTTGGCGTTGTATCTCCCTCATGCATAGCTCTGATTACTTGTCCGGGTTTGGCTTTCTATCTCCCTCATGCATAGCTCTGGTTCCTTGTCAAGGTTTGGCGTTGTATCTCCCTCATGCATAGCTCTGGTTCCTTGTCCAGGTTTGGCGTTGTATCTCCCTCATGCATAGCTCTGGTTCCTTGTCCAGGTTTGGCGTTGTATCTCCCTCATGCATAGCTCTGGTTCCTTGTCCAGGTTTGGCGTTGTATCTCCCTCATGCATAGCTCTGATTCCTTGTCCGAGTTTGGCTTTTCATTTTGTTTTTCGTTTTTGTTTGCTTTACCAGCTTTTCAACGTTTGTATTGGGTTAATGATTTTCAACAATATTGGGCTCGAGCATTACTGAAGAGCAATTAATTGTCGAAATGCGCATCTGGTGCATACAATTAGTGCCGTTAATGTTATTACAATCTCCATGTTCAGTGAACCACGAAATCTGGATCAGAACCTTATTTTGGGATATATTTTAAAAATTGAAATCCTAATGAGCTAAAATTAAGTAAAACTCCGGTGGATAGTTGTCTCATTGGCAATCCTTATTCTTACGTAATGTATAGTTTTAGAAAAAATGTCACCAATTTACTGTTGCTAATAAACAGTGTTATTCTGCTAGTCAAATACTCAAAATATATCATTTAGGCTTTGGCTATACGTTTTTATCCCTTTTGGTTTATAGCTCTTTATCTTTTTAATAAGCTTTCGATTTTCAAATATTTTGGCCTCGAGCATCACTGAAGAGATATTTATTGTCGAAATGCGCATCTGGTGAAGAAAAATTGGTTCCGTTAATGTTATCAAAACAGAATGTTATACCAACACAAGGAGGAAAAAAGGATATGTCCGCTTAAGACATATCGTACAGTCACATTTAGGTACTCTTGTCATTTGGAATCTGTTTGAAAGTTGTATCGTTTGAAATCATACCACATCGTTTTATTTTTTTAAAGAATATATATAATATGCTGTTTCCAGCAAAAAAAAACAGTCGACTTCTACTACTCCAATATTGATAAACAGTTGAAAACACTTGTGTTCACCAATTTTAATATTATAAGTTCTTATTACTCTTTTCTCCTTCGCTTCATTAGTACTGCTAGACATTGCATATTCCATTTAGTACTAGCGGACTGCATATACTCCATGCAGTCGTCAAGACTTTGACTCACCAATGGAGTGATATTCACCCTTTATGACAGACTGCGTTAAATTCTTCTAACTTTATCTACTTGGACTGAAGCTACTTTTGGTTGACTGCATACAATATATCTGGTAATCGCGGCGTCGTCACAAATACGATTAGAACATACATTCTGACAAGAATTCGGTTTACTCATTTTTACTTGATTTTTTTTTTTATCTAAATTCATATTCTTTCTTACGTAATCTAATAATTCCCTTTGTGTATAAATTAGACTAGTCAATAACACTTACACGAATCCTTTTCATATAATGCCCTTATTCAAATCATATCTTATAGTGTTTTCAGACAAAACAGATAATGAAAACAAACTGATTTTCAAATACATTGCACAGGAAGCAAATATCAAAGTACCAAAAAATTTCTTCAGAAGACGTTAAACTAAGATACTTATCTTACCATAATTTAACAATTGCATTGCAATTACCTACACCCCTTTCCCCAATGTAATGTACAGCCAACTGTAAAAACAAGAATATAAATGAGACTTTTTAAACACTATTACAGGGCGATTGGATGGTGCCGGACATATCGTATTAAACAGGTGCGATTATTCGATTTCTGTCCATGAAATGAATTGTTACCAACGGAAAGGTGTGTTCAAAGGTGCATATGCAGCCAGCTGTGAATGCATCAATCAGGTAATTTAATTTTTTTTAGTTTTTGTCTTTTAAGACTGGATTATAGCAGACATAAACCTTATTTAATTGATATTAATATGTTTGTGTGTTATAATAAATCAAATTACATAACAGTATTTGAAAAAAAATTAGTAATGCTTTTTTGGTGCATCAGAGGAACTTTGTGTTATTTTATGCATCAATTGCATTTATAAAAACATAACAAATAATACTCGATCAAAAATATTTAAGACGTTTTTCACTTCCACCTAGGTAACAGATTGGGTCATTTCTACGTATTTATACATCCATGGCTTTTAATTTTTTTTTAGATTTGAGCGTTTCTTATGTAGGCAAACCCAGAAAAGTGCTTCGAACTCTTAAAATTTATAGTTCTCTTTTGATAGGCAATTAAAGAGGATTGTTTCAAGATGTAAATGTGAGAAAGGAACTGCTGTAGAACAACATCTTATCGTATAAATTTTATCAGGTAGACTTTTTGAAATGGAAATTGAAAACATAATAGAGCCCATTTCCCAAATAAAGCCCAAATAACAAGTATGTTTTACTGGAGTGTCATAATTTCAACATTGACAACCATTCTCATTTTTTTGTTCACATGGTATATGTGTTCATATTGTAACTTGTTGTTTTTAACATTGAAAGTTCCCTTTACAAAGCAGAAAGCATAAAAACCCGTATGTTTAATATTTTTTTATATTGCACAATATTTACAATTTATTCAACCAATGTCAATACGACTGACTCTTATTCAAAAATATTTAATTTTTGGATTTGAAAATGTCCTATTATTAAAATTATGGGTGGTGCTTAACATATTGCGGAGTGTACATATTTTTTTTATTACTAGAGATATGTTTTGTTTTGATTATTGCGTCTGATAGGCTATTTGTTTTTAAAAAATACCAGTTTTAATTGTAAATAGGTGGCAACAGTTGTTTACCGATATTCAAATGTCATAAAACCATTAAAATCAGACATGACTATCAAGGTTACAAAAACCTGAGAGAATCGCAAGAACTCTAAAAGAAGCGAGAACGGGTTTGTCGACAGGTTATGCATCTCCTGCTAATCCCGATACATGCGTTATCCGACATGCGAATCCACACAGTCGCAATCGGGGATAGGACCAAATTAGTTTAAATTACAGATCGTAAAACCCTTCTAATATCTAAAGATCTGAGACCACGACAACATTTTTGCTAGTGAATTCAGACCAAACACATCGTACCGCTCAATGTATTACTTGTAAACGCCAAACGATTTGGCAAATGATATGTTACTGCTGAGAAATGGAAAGCTGACAATTGGAAAGTTAAAATCATCACGTCTGTCATAGATTTTTCTTTGCAATTGTCCATCTGTGTCAATATCAAAGAAACTAACACGATATGAATCAGACCTTCTAGTTTTGGTAGTATTCCTTATCTCAAGTTCACTGGGATATAAGAGAAGAAAGCACTTACTGAATGACAGAACATCATCAATATATCTGAAAATGAAATAAAAGAACCCTGCGAAAAGCTTTTTATTTCTTTAGGCCATTTTTATAGTAGAAAGAATGGTTGTAAGAGCTTTAAAAAGATGTTGAACAGAACATCTTAAGGAACCGGCTATACACCGTTCCTTATACGGGTTTTTGTGAAGTTTAGGTATCCATAATCAAGACGGGAGATTTTCATTGTCCTTTTTTATGTTAATACCAAAGGAAAGTAGTACGGAATTGTGATTTTTAAAACTATCATCTCTCGTTCATGATTTACGGATATATGTTTTCTGTGAAAAAATATAAGAACAAGGGTATATATAGAAGCAATTTGCATATTGTGTACGATATATTTGCTTTTAAATCATTCTTTTTCTTTTAACATCTTTATCAAATGATGGAAACCATGACATGTCTAGGGCTTTTAATTTTATCTGTTTGGTCCGACTGACCTTTTGAAACATTTGAAGCAAAACCTATTCATTTGCCAATAACTACATATACAGTGATTCAATCATATAGAAGTATAGCGTATATCTACCGTTAAGAATAGATCCCTTTTAAATTTCCGAAAATTAATAAAAAAAAAAGAGCAATACTTGGTAATATGATAACGTAGTACAATGTAAATATAGAACCCTGTGATATATTAGTCAACAATCTAAAACGATACAAGGCAATGTATTTTCTATATGGAAAGAATTGAGATACATGATAGCAAGTTAAAAAAAACCAATTAGTTTAACAAAACTATTGATTTAATGAAAAAATGAGACGCGAAATTTAATTGATTTGAAAAAAACAGTTAATTTCACACAACATATAAAAAAAAACCGATTTGTGTACTTCAAACACTTAAAACATAATCATGGGTTGGTTAAAAACATTGGAATGCTTTGCAGATATTTCAATAAATAAAAGTCTTATCTTAGAAACTGAGAGTCGAATTTTGACATCATTTTATGCAAAATTTGACCATTCAATTGGAGTTTAAACTTGTGTATCGTTATTTTGGTTACAATTTTATATATCAGAACAGCCAAGATTTGAGTTATTTAAGGAAATCAAAAAGTTGTCATTGATTTATTTCAGATTGGAACAAACCCGAACGAGCAGTGTGACATGACGAAAGACAGTTTGTGTTATAGCAGTTATGCTTACTGTTACCAATTCGGTGGTCATTGTGGTTGGAAAAAGTTCTGGAAGTTTACAAATTGTTAAACAATAAATAATTTTCTGATTGTTTATGTCTGTTAATAAAAATCAGGATAAAAGGATTAAATTGAGTTTGTGGCAGAACCCTTCACATATATATATATATATTTATATATAAAGTGCCTAGAAAATCAACCTAACAATGTTAGAGTAGATTTGATTCTTTACTTCCTCCCCAAGCGGGGCTGGAACCTGTACTTTTCACTTCATACTTCTACGGCAACACCGCCTAGCATTGCGCAGACGCCTTATCCCCTCCTCTAACTATAGCTGATTAAAATCAGCTTTCGTTTCGGGAGGTGTTACCTTCTCGTAGGAATTAAACAAGGACATCTAGACGCAATACACAAAGTATTTTAAGTGTACAGAAATGATCATCTACTCATCTCTTTAGTATAATTACAGGATGCTGTTCTATTTTTAGAAGCATACAATCACTGTAAATTTATATATATGTATGTCTGCCTATGTGTAGTGACAACTGTAAATTATACCTTGTCCATCGGATTTCTTATGATTAAGAAATGCCAGGCTTTAGAATATTTATAAAGTGCCTAGAAAATCAACCTAACAATGTTAGAGTAGATTTGATTCTTTACTTCCTCCCCAAGCGGGGCTGGAACCTGTACTTTTCACTTCATACTTCTACGGCAACACCGCCTAGCATTGCGCAGACGCCTTATCCCCTCCTCTAACTATAGCTGATTAAAATCAGCTTTCGTTTCGGGAGGTGTTACCTTCTCGTAGGAATTAAACAAGGACATCTAGACGCAATACACAAAGTATTTTAAGTGTACAGAGATGATCTACTCATCTCTGTACACTTAAAATACTTTGTGTATTGCGTCTAGATGTCCTTGTTTAATTCCTACGAGAAGGTAACACCTCCCGAAACGAAAGCTGATTTTAATCAGCTATAGTTAGAGGAGGGGATAAGGCGTCTGCGCAATGCTAGGCGGTGTTGCCGTAGAAGTATGAAGTGAAAAGTACAGGTTCCAGCCCCGCTTGGGGAGGAAGTAAAGAATCAAATCTACTCTAACATTGTTAGGTTGATTTTCTAGGCACTTTATAAATATTCTAAAGCCTGGCATTTCTTAATCATAAGAAATCCGATGGACAAGGTATAATTTACAGTTGTCACTACACATAGGCAGACATACATATATATAAATTTACAGTGATTGTATGCTTCTAAAAATAGAACAGCATCCTGTAATTATACTAAAGAGATGAGTAGATGATCATTTCTGTACACTTAAAATACTTTGTGTATTGCGTCTAGATGTCCTTGTTTAATTCCTACGAGAAGGTAACACCTCCCGAAACGAAAGCTGATTTTAATCAGCTATAGTTAGAGGAGGGGATAAGGCGTCTGCGCAATGCTAGGCGGTGTTGCCGTAGAAGTATGAAGTGAAAAGTACAGGTTCCAGCCCCGCTTGGGGAGGAAGTAAAGAATCAAATCTACTCTAACATTGTTAGGTTGATTTTCTAGGCACTTTATAAATATTCTAAAGCCTGGCATTTCTTAATCATAAGAAATCCGATGGACAAGGTATAATTTACAGTTGTCACTACACATAGGCAGACATACATATATATAAATTTACAGTGATTGTATGCTTCTAAAAATAGAACAGCATCCTGTAATTATACTAAAGAGATGAGTAGATGATCATTTCTGTACACTTAAAATACTTTGTGTATTGCGTCTAGATGTCCTTGTTTAATTCCTACGAGAAGGTAACACCTCCCGAAACGAAAGCTGATTTTAATCAGCTATAGTTAGAGGAGGGGATAAGGCGTCTGCGCAATGCTAGGCGGTGTTGCCGTAGAAGTATGAAGTGAAAAGTACAGGTTCCAGCCCCGCTTGGGGAGGAAGTAAAGAATCAAATCTACTCTAACATTGTTAGGTTGATTTTCTAGGCACTTTATAAATATTCTAAAGCCTGGCATTTCTTAATCATAAGAAATCCGATGGACAAGGTATAATTTACAGTTGTCACTACACATAGGCAGACATACATATATATTTATATATATATATAAGTGCCTATAAATAGCAGCACATGACATACAAATCTATATTTACATACTAAATAGTGTGTTAAAATTACATTGTTAGGCAATTTATATATATATATATATATATATATATAAGTCTAGAGATTTGCACAACGATACTAATATAAGATGGTATTATACGAAGATGTTGTTAATAAATCGTGTTGACAAATATTTCGGCTTAACAAATAGCCTTCTTCGGTGTCAATTATTTTAACAATACTGATAATATGTATAAAAATAGCTCAATAATACAGGTAAGTTTTGGTCTATTGATTTAATCCAAAATCCTGAACATCATAATATAAAACAAAACTCAATACTCAAATATACGTGACTGTGTATATTTACAACCCAAAATGAGTGAAAAATAAAACTTAGTATTTTTTATTGATGCCGTTTGGATGATGTACATTTAGTTCCTTTATCCAAAAGCTTTCCCGAACCTGTCGCTGGGCATCACTCCAGTGAATGTTCTGTTCAATCACTAGGATCTTCATGCGGTTAAAGTCATCAAGTGTGTGACCAGACTGTCTGAAATGCTGAGAAACTGGGAGAAGTGGCTTCTTAGAGATATCACTCCTATGGCCATTGAGGCGTTTGTGGAAAGGCTGCTTTGACTCACCAACATATTGGAGGCCACAAACCGAACATTCTAGAATGTAAATAACATTCATACTTTTGCAGTTAACATTGCAAAATATCTTATAGTTATTTTCGGTTGCCTTACTGTGAAAAGTTGATGAATGATGCATCTGTAGGCAGCATTTGCAGCGTTTTTCATCACACGAACGACATTCTCCAGAAGTACTTCTATTATCAGACACTTCAGCCCGCACCAGCAGGTTACGCAGACTATTGGGTTGCCTAAAAGCTATCATGGGAGGCTCGGGAAAAATCTTGGATAGTTTGGAATTCTTTTCAACTGTTTTCCAATGCTCACGAATGACACCGAAGCTGTTTTTGAGAGATGGGTGGTAAGTAAGAACACATGGAGTCCTTTTATTTTTCTTTTTATATTTGTATTCTAACAGTTTACTCCTTGGAATAGTTTCCGCTTTCTGAAAGCCTTTTTGGATAGTTTTGTGTTTGTAGCCCCTTCTCAGTCAGAAACAACTAAAAAACAACTACGTCAACTCGAAACCCGCTTGAAGAGAAGGGGCTACAAACACAAAACTATCCAAAAAGGCTTTCAGAAAGCGGAAACTATTCCAAGGAGTAAACTGTTAGAATACAAATATAAGAAGAAAAATAAAAGGACTCCATGTGTTCTTACTTACCACCCATCTCTCAAAAACAGCTTCGGTGTCATTCGTGAGCATTGGAAAACAGTTGAAAAGAATTCCAAACTATCCAAGATTTTTCCCGAGCCTCCCATGATAGCTTTTAGGCAACCCAATAGTCTGCGTAACCTGCTGGTGCGGGCTGAAGTGTCTGATAATAGAAGTACTTCTGGAGAATGTCGTTCGTGTGATGAAAAACGCTGCAAATGCTGCCTACAGATGCATCCTTCATCAACTTTTCACAGTAAGGCAACCGAAAATAACTATAAGATATTTTGCAATGTTAACTGCAAAAGTATGAATGTTATTTACATTCTAGAATGTTCGGTTTGTGGCCTCCAATATGTTGGTGAGTCAAAGCAGCCTTTCCACAAACGCCTCAATGGCCATAGGAGTGATATCTCTAAGAAGCCACTTCTCCCAGTTTCTCAGCATTTCAGACAGTCTGGTCACACACTTGATGACTTTAACCGCATGAAGATCCTAGTGATTGAACAGAACATTCACTGGAGTGATGCCCAGCGACAGGTTCGGGAAAGCTTTTGGATAAAGGAACTAAATGTACATCATCCAAACGGCATCAATAAAAAATACTAAGTTTTATTTTTCACTCATTTTGGGTTGTAAATATACACAGTCACGTATATTTGAGTATTGAGTTTTGTTTTATATTATGATGTTCAGGATTTTGGATTAAATCAATAGACCAAAACTTACCTGTATTATTGAGCTATTTTTATACATATTATCAGTATTGTTAAAATAATTGACACCGAAGAAGGCTATTTGTTAAGCCGAAATATTTGTCAACACGATTTATTAACAACATCTTCGTATAATACCATCTTATATTAGTACCGTTGTGCAAATCTCTAGACTTATATAATTTTTTTCCTTATCTGCACAGTATCGTCTATTCTAGACGATCCGGTACATAGTAAATTTGCTGGTTGGTCCTTTTTATAGACTTCTATATATATATATGTCTTAATGTGTGCTAACTTGACGACAGACGTTCTTCCTCAGCTATTCTATGGTTATACAGGGCGAACACTATAGAATGCCTAGATAATAGTAAAAGGCAATTCTTGTTAAGGCATCGGGTAGTAATAAAAAACGATGCAGTACGAAAATATTTGAAAAATAAAATCTACGTAAAAAAAAGAAGAGAAACACAGTCATATTACAAAAACCTTTAAACATATCCGGTATCAAAGACAAATTTTCATTATCGATAACCCGCTATAACATAACAGTAAGGCGCCATTTTATATATTACTATTGAAACTTACGAGGAATCAGATTTCTTTTCTTAACTTTCCAAAAAACTAACACGATAGCTCGGCAATAAAATACGTCAATGAGACGGGAAACAAACCACAATAATAACCAAAAGACATCTTAAGGGCAAAATACAGTCTTTAACAAGAGAAAGGTGTGTATACAATATGACAAGCTCAAATCGCCCCGAGTCTATACAAATGGTGAATATATTTAACAGAAACAAGCAAAGGTCTGACATCAACAACCAATTTTCATAAATAACGAAACAATAAAATATGACATGCACATATGGCGGGGTTAAACTAGTTTTTCCCTCCCATTTTTAATTTCGACCAGTAGATTAACACCAACTACATAAAAGAAAAAAAAAGCAGTGTAGGAAAAGCATGTTACTCTAAAA